GTCACCAGTCTCCATCTGGACATTGAGCCATTGATGTAGAAGATGTAGAAGCTTTAGCAAATGTTTAAATGTTTGGGTCAAAAGGTCAGAAATTAAGAAATAAAGATTGTTAAATTAACTTTTGGTACATCACTAACTGGAAAAGTAATTCAAATGTGAAGTCTTGTTTTCTGTACACACGTGCTTGAAGTTATAGTTTTTAAGACAGACTATCACTTAAAACTCAAAAATTTTGCAACTGTTAAAATTTTTCATGTACAGTTACTGTATATCAGGTACACTTCTGAATGATCTAAATTGTGGGTCTGAATTCAGTGGTTTATCTACTTTAAGTAGGAGGTTGGACTAGATGATTTCCTGAGGTCCCTTCCAGTCTGGATTATTTCTTGATTCTGTGTCCATCCTGGGTTATTGACTTTGAAGCCTGGTTGCCTTCCCAGTGGTACCACTGAGCTTTTTTCGCTTACGTAGCGGCTGTCCTTTACAAGGCCTTTCCAAATTAGTTTCAATGAGGTCTACTTTCCACAGTCAAATTAGTATCTTTTTAGACTTAGAAAGGGCTGCTTTCATGAACCCTTTAAAGTGTGAACTTGTTTTCTAAGCCACTATTTGGAGCAGAAACTAAATAAAGCATCATCTTGTTGAGCATTATTTTTCTTTAATACATACCTAAAATAAAATGGCAAAAAATCCACAAGTTTTTACATTACTAATCATTGCTACTAAATTTGACTTTCTGAAACGAGTATACAGCTGATTAGTAAAATAGAATTTCCTTCACATAATGTAGTTCTTGGTTTAATTTTTGATGTATTTTCCATTCTTCCAATGAATTTTTTTAACATCTTGGTTCTCAAATTTATCTTCTTCCATGAGAAGATGGTAAGAGAATTTCTGTTCCTCATTTTAGAAAATAAATTGTGGTATTTCTTCAAAGGTAAAGTTAGTGAATAAATACTGTAACTGTATACATTGTTAAATTGTCTCTTTTTTTTTTCCCCTAGGTACAATTTTGTTATGCTGGCCTTGTCCTTCACATTTCTCTGCATCTCTTATTTCTTGACCCACTGGCATGGCAGTATAGGCTTTATCCTTGCCAACTGCTTTAACATGGGTATTCGAATAGCTCACAGCATCCACTATATCTATGATTACTTCAAAGAAAGCACTTACAGACCTTTGACAGGCTTGCTTCCCTCACCATTTTTGGTACTCGTTTATATCATAAGTGGAGTAATCACTGGTTTCTCAGAGGTAAGCATCTTTCTCAGATTTTGCTTTCACTGTGAAAGTTAGTGTCAAATGACTTGTGTGTCCACAAGCAGAGAAATACCGTTAGCAAAAAAGGCTGATGAGGATAGGCTGGAAGACTTCCATTACAGGCAAGGCAATATACAGTATTAAGAGATTTTATCTTTGATACCAAGTTATCTCTGCCACCTGTAGAAGGTGTATCTGACAAGTAAAATAAAATTTAACATGTTTCTGCTGTCTGTAGATAAATCCATGTCCTTAGTTCTTAACAATAATTGAAATTTTGCAGTAGCATGAAGAAACTGTTATTAAAAATTCTGTAATAAAAAGTGATAGAGGAAAAACAACCAAAACAAGAACGGAAACAAAAATTGCCAAGAGCACATTTATCACATTTATTCAGACTACAGGGTGGTAATTGTGCAGACTAATTATTACGGACATGGTAGCATTTCAATGTACAAAAATTTGACAGATTGAAAATCCATTACGCTTTAGAAAGAAGAGCTTTATATTTTGGAATGGGAGATTTCCAGTGGGGTTTTGTTAGAAAATAGCTTAATACGTTGCTGCAAAGTAGCAGACTTGTGTGATGGCACCAGCAGAGTTTTCCTAATATCTCAGTTAACATATTTCTGCATGCCACATAATAATAACTTCCACGTTTACCAGGTATCTACTGAATGCTCATTTTTTGCTGACAGAATTTTCTTAAGAAAGCAAGTGTTGTGACTATTAAGGATGTTTTATTGCAGGATCAGTGCATGCGGCAAAACTGCGCTCAGCTTGATGGTGGTGGTAGCGTGGTCAGGAGAGATGTTGGACCTTATTTTTTATTGAGATAGTATATCTATTTTGTGCTGACTAGTTTTCCTGCAATTGCTTTTTTCCTTTGTTGTAGGTGGTATTCTGCTGCGATAAGGGTTGGATGGCAAGGCTGATTCACATCAGCATGGGCGCTCTGTGCTTTGCAGCAACCATCGTTACTATGTTCTGCACAGAGACCAAGCTGATCCACTTCGTCAGAAGCCAGTTCCTCTCCCGGTATATGAAGAAAGGAACATGAAATGCACGTGTGCAGAACAGTTCTTGTACATGCTTGCAGTAAAGGGTGGTATTTTTTGCATAAGATCTGTAGGGAAAAGGTTTCCACATGTGTTTATTGGAAGCACTGATGTTGGAGTGGCAATGTAAAAGGTTGCCAACTGAATATTATTTTGTCTTCTAAACTGGTCAGTACAGTGAAAGAGAGACGAGTAATTTTCTCTGTATGCATCATTCTTTTGTAAGCTTTTCTTCAAACAGCCTCTTTGGTAACGAATGAAGATCTAAGATAAACCCTTCTGACATAACCTAGTTGACGGACTTCATGTAGAGAGCTTCTGTTCTTACCAATGGGGAGTACATGCATGAAGGCATCATATGGCTTACATCTTAAGATGTAATTAAGAATGCCCTTATTTGGCACGGTGGGCTGCTTAACTGGTTAGAAAATAAATGATCTCACAAAAAAAACCCCAACAAAACCCTCAAAACAAAGGAAAGCTGAAGAAAACACCAGGGCAAGGACCAATAGGAATATAACGGTTACTGAGGTAGAACACTATGCAGTGCAGAGAGATTGAGTTGTCAGTGTTCTGAAGTGTAAAGTGGTGAACAGGAAGTTCTGATGTTTACAAGTAAATTGATGGAATACACAGCATGTGTCCATGCTAGGTAAGATTATTTCCTTCAGCATATCATTCATTTATGAGGGCATTGGTTAACCTGTCAAAAATACTCTGAAGCTTTAGCTAAAAGAAAAAAGGGGTTTTGAGCAGTGTTTTACAGAAGGTGTTAAGTACAATCACACTGATGCTGAAGTTCCAGAAGGTTAATCATAAAACTTCTTTCACTCCATTGTTTTTTGTTTTTATCTGAGATTTTAAATGCCAGCATGAGCAAATTTGTCTCAATAAAATGATTTTACCTTGTCTGTGAAATCGAATGTTAAATATATTTAATAAGATTTCTTTCAAGGATTCATGCACATTGAAACTTTAATTATTGGATAGAAAATGCTTCATTTTGTTACCATCAGTTTTCCTCATGTCGTGTTCCTTTACTTGTTCAATCTTAACATTTGTATTGATTTTTTTTTTTAATTGTTGAAAATTTGGAGATTCAGAAGTTGTAAAATTAGACCTTAGGCTGCTGCTTTATGTTCAGTAATGGTGTATTTATTGCTGGTCTAAGATCTGAATTTGGCAGTTTCAGAATGTACAAGTGGCAGGGTTTTAAATAATACAGGTTTTTATAATGAAGTGTTCCCTTTGCAGTGTTTGGATGGACCAAAAAATGTCAAGCGATGAAAAATGTGTGCTCAGACATGTGTAGTCGAAAGCTTTTAGTTTAATTATGTAGCAATTGCTCAGATCCTCAGACTGCTTAAAAAAACCATTTCACTGTAACGGCATTGTGGAGTTCATCGTGGTAACCATAGCTGACAGAGTGAAATGCTTTCTGCTGTCAGTGTCTTCTGTTTGGTACTGTTAGAAACATGTTCTAAACTCCGGTAATTTTCACTTGGAGAGAGAGTATCGCCAGAGATACTTTGTATGAGAATTTGGTGATTGAAAACTTATCACAGAGAAGCCAAAATGTAACAGTGGAAGAGAAAGGTGCACTTCCTCAGCTAATGGTGGTGTCTCCGTTACCTGGCTGGAAGGTAGTAGAAAGAGACTTGCTGATTCTTCTGAAGTTATGAAATTTATCAAAATAAAACAAACTACATTATTCTGTCCTGTTAAGTGAATTTGGTAGTTCTTTGCCTTTTAAATTTTTCTCTTCTGAGTTGTCTTGCAGCTTGTTTTTCCTCATTTCTATCAGGTATGGAGTTTGTTATGAAGTACAGCTCCACATATTGCAAAGGGTTGAAACTTCTTTATTAAAAATTGTCAATGCATACACTTTCTTTTCCTTGTTCATAATTCAAAAAACCCCCAAGACAGGTGAACTTACAGACTCTTTCTAGGATCTGTCTTTTTCTGCATGACTTTGGGACCTTACTGTGGGAACATCTCAATCTGTACAGTGAATTTTAACTAATTCTTAGAATGAGGAATTTTGTATAGCCCTGCACTTAAAATGCAGATTGAAGAACTTTTTGTACAAAATGAGCTGGAAGTCATGCTGTCTTGTCTAGTCTTATGATCCCAGCTGTACAGTGATACTACTTCTGCTGCTAGTATTGTTGTAAATATCTGTTCAAATAGTGGGCTGTCTAGTCTCATAAATCTTTTTTAATATAAATGCTGTGTATGTATTTAAAGAGAGGTTACATTTTTAAACTAACTAGTTTGATTTTGTATTGGAAAGGCTTATAAATATCTCTTGCATCTCAACAAGTGAAAATGCAATTTCATATGAACCAGGAAGACATTTAAGGTGGCTTAATCATTGCTCATTTGCAAATTAAGGCTACATTCCTCTTTTAAACTTGATCTGTAAGCAGTTCAGTGATGGTTGGCTGGGTTTTGTGGTTTTTTGTCTTTTTTTTTTTTTAATATCTTTTATGTGACAGGAAACTGCAAAGAGGGACAGGACGTATAGACCTATGAAGCTGTCTCCTGGTTTCTTATTTATCTGTGTGATCCTTAACGTGAAAGCTGTTAATTGCTTTATTTATAAAGAAGCAAACTCTCAAACTTGGGGACAAAGTTGAGATTGAACTTGACCAAATTACCCTTTTGTTTGCAGTTCTGTCGGTCTGTCAAAGGCACAGTGGGATGCTTGTCTATACATCTAATGAAGCTGTTTTGCCATGTTCTTCTGAAATCCTTTAGTTTAAGCCAAAGGAGACTTAAACTGTTTTTCTTTGGAGAAAAAGTTATGATTTCATACATCATGTGATGTGGGTGGTTTTTTTTAAATACTTGGATTAGTGACATTCAAACAACTGTAAGATTAAATGGTTATGTAATAGGATAATACCAAATAAAATTTATTTCCCTTACATTTTGTTTTTGTCTTCCGGTTGCAGGCTTATTGGAGTGTTATTTGTATCTTTGGTACGGTTGGTGCTTAAATTCGGTGGGATTTTCTAGGATCTTTCATGTATAAATTCATTTATCAACCTAGAAACTTATACACCATTTCCTAATGCACATACTGATAAAATTTACTGTAGTATTTTTGTGAGAAGTGGCATCATTATAGTCACTTTTTTCCTCTTTGTTTTTGTTGAAATGTATGTTTGTATGGATTGAAATGACCAAGTTTGTTTGTTTGCTGTTAAACAATGCATTGTTGTGATAAAAACTGTTTAAGTGGCTAGGAGTAAACCTGATACTTAATGAAGTTTGTTAGCTGAATTATGCTGCAACTGGCAATACTAGTGTTAGGTACTAACCAATTAACCAATTGTTCAACTGTTTGTTCTTTTCTAGTACAGTAAATATTTTATTTGTAACGAAGTAGGGTGGGGGAAGCATGAATGCATTTTTTTTTTGGGGGGGGGGGGAGAAATTAGGAGTTAAAGCTTTACCTTAATGGTTAATCTGCTTTAGTAGGCACGAAAAGTAATGGATGTAAGCTTAAATGTTGACCACAGTTTAGCACCCATAAGAGGTGTTGGCTTGTTAGTTCATATGAAGGATTGCCTGAGTGTGGGTACCTTGAGGTCACTAGTCCTAATTTGCTGGGTTCTGGATGGTGCTTAAATCTAAACTTTGAAATTCTTTTTGTGGATTTCGTATTTCTTGCTGTTTGAACATCATACTTTTTTATGGTTTAATTACCCTTATTTTAAAGGTAATACTGAAGAGAGAGGATCTGAGGCTTTTTGAATCATATCATTGCATCAATAGATCTTGCTGAGATGTAATTTTTGTTTGGCACAAAATACGTAACTCATTTGCATTCTGATAGTGCTATATAAATGCAGTTCATTTTCATTATAAGCTTAAAATGAAGTTTGAAGCTCTCCAGATCTAATGTACAGCTGGGCCATGGAAACTAAGTGCAAGGCGTGCTCAAAAGTGTTAGCAGCTGGGGGATCTAAACAAAACAGTGATAGGAAATGCTTATCTGTGTTGCATTTTGGCTTACTTCCACAAAAAGATGTTTGTTCTCTTTGGTTTATGGATCTGAACTGTGGTTCATGCACTACCTTGCTGTGATGAGGAGGAGGAATGAACCCTTTTCAGTTGGGATGTCTGTAACTGCACACTGCTATAGTGAGCTTCATTCACAGACTCTGAGTGCGCGCTTTCATGTGTGGCTAAGGTAGGATAGTTGGTTTTCCTGTTGTAATTGTGGAGAAAGGTAAAACAACTCCAGTTTTGTCAGACTTCCTGTTTAGTTGTGGTAAGCGAGCATCTCGTAGAGCTCTGTGGTGATTTGCTAGCTAGGTTTCATGATTCACAGACACATCTATCTTCAGTGTGACATATTTCCAAAGTTTTATGCCATGTCACTGAACTGAGAAAGCGGAAAGGAATGTAACCAGGAGGACAGACATGTTATATCTATGACCCATTTAAGAAGACTGAAATAATTAAAGTGGTGTCAAGAGGAAAAAAAATTGAGAGAGAGAGCAGTCCTTAAACACAGATAAGATGTATGAGTAGTTCTAATCTGCTAGTAAACAAGAATCATGTTTTGTTCTTTGTGGTACATTTTGGAGAGAGAGCTTCAGAAAGGGAAGTACATAACAGAGCTTGGGAGAAGACCGCAGAGTTTTGCCCATAACTTTCTTGAACGCAGGAATATTTCAGACTCTTGCTCCCTTGTGGCTCCTTGGGAGAGGGAGGAGTATGAAACAGCGCACTGATGCTGTTCCAGAGAGACTTGCTTTTGTCTCAGAGAGCAACCGAGGCCTAGTCGTGCACTACCTGTGAGAAAGAGCCTTGTGATCACTTGTGAATATCTCCAATTCCTTCCTTGTTTTTGTTTTGTTTTTTTTGAGTCCTGACACAGTTTCATTCATATGTTGGTAAACCATTCGTAACCAACTCCCATATATAGATCTCTCTCTCCTTTATTTGCTGAAAAAAGTCAACCTAGCCAGTCTCAATGTAAAAATGTGGTGGGTCACCAGCGTCCTGCACTGGGGTGGAATGAGGAATGTGTTGGTCAGCTAGCTGAAGGTTATATTTTGGCCTGCTTGCAAGCCCTGACAGCAAGGAGTAAGGAGGGAGCAAATGAAGGTTGCACAGAAAAATTTAATTGGCTTCTTTCCGGTTCTGGATGCTTGACTTGGCAGTACTAATGTTTTCCTGATGGAAGGTTTTTTTGGGAATACTTTTCTAAAACAAGTACCATAAAGTGCACTCATGTGCCTTCTCTTATTTGTGTAATGATTTTTAGCAGTCTCTCGGTGGGGTGGGGAGATGTCACGTTGTGAGGAAAGGAAGAAGGGAAATGTGGCAGAGTATGGTACATGTGCAAGGAACATAGTGTCCCTCTGAGGAAAGGTCTTCAGTCTGTGAGTTACTTCCATCTCAATGCATTTCTGTCACTGCAAATAAAACTCTTGAGTATGTGTCTGCACAAGTGCTTCTCTAGGTAACTAGTAGAACGTGTTTGGAAGAAGCAGAGTATGCCCATGAAGTAGAGTATACTTTGTTACAGACTGCTTGTCATTCTGCTTTGCTGGTCAAGCAGGCTTTTATTTGTGCATTGAAAATACAGGCAATAGTATGTGATAATATTCTTTTCCTCTCTCTTTTTCTAACAGTCCTCCCATTGAGGTTGACTGTACATTAGCCTGTGGCAACTGTGGGTTTTCCTGTGGTTCCTTCAGAATTGTACTGATGGTTTTCAGTATTTTTGGTTTTTTCCCCCCTCAGATGACGCTTGTTACACAGTAGCTTTACACATGTTCACCGGGGGGCTCTGAAGCACAGGGCTAGGATCAGGGAAGTGCTAGGGCTTCACTCAAGTCCTGCTCGGCACAGAAAGGTTGGATGAGGGCTGGATGCTCCACTGCTCAATAGGGGGTGGGTGTCATGACCCATGGTCTGGGTCTCAGGCTGCACAGCTGTGAGCACCTTGGCTCAGATTTCTAAGGAAAAGTTGTGAGAGCTGTGAAAAAAGTCTGTAGTAAAGCCATGCAGGATAAGAAAGCTAGGATTGCTTTCTTGAGACAGCAGGTCAAGGATTCAGGAGGAAAACCACCTACATTCCTGAATGTAAATACGGAGTTGGAAGGTAGCAACTCAGGAGCCCCGAAGGTCCATCTCAGGGAGCTGCAGAGATTCCCTGCCGAACCATCTGCTAGTAGAGATGCTCTGAGTTTTACTGAGCATTGTGAATATGCTATGCTTGGTATCTTGTTAAGTTCCACTGGTTTTGTGCATCTAAACCAATATATGATTTATCCTTTTAAAGTTAACTATATCCTGCTTGTGGAGTCTATTTGCAATTGACAAAAGTTGCCTGAATGAAATGGCTTGGAGGGAGGATTACGAATTTGTGGAGAGTGCAGGTGAAATAGGTCTTTTGGAGTGAAAGCCAGAGTCTGAGAGCAGAAAAGCAGAATAACAGAAACTGAAAACAAATGCACAATATACAGGTTTGGTAACTGGGCATTCAAGGTACTTAGTATTCCACTGGGGCTGACTGCTCACCAGGTGGGAAGAAGAGGGGAGGACTTTCTCCTCATCCAGAGGAAAATTTAGGGATGTAGGTCATCTGAAAGATACTCTGGTACAGGAGCAGGAAGCTTTCGTGGCTGAAGGTGCATTGAGGAAGGCTGGAAAAGCATTTGCAATCTGTCGGGACCATTACATCTAAGGCTACGTTAAGGTTGCTGCAGTATGGGCCTTGTGGAGAGCTGCAACCAATTTGACTAGTCTATTACAGTTAGGAAAAGGAAAATTAGTCTCTGTAGGGTAAGAAAAGGTGGATTTGAAATTAGAGGTTGAATTATTGAAGGAACAGGAATGGAATCGGAGTGGAAGAACCGAAGAAAAGCAGTGCAGAGTAGTGTGCCTGTGCTGCAAAAAGCCAGTGTTCAGCATCTGTGATGAAGTGAGTCCAGGCGGCACGTGATGAAGGACATACGAAAGGCTAGACAATGAAAACTCAAGCCGAGGAGTTAGATGGACAGTTGAAGAAAGCTTAAGTAGCTTCAGGGTGGTAGTTAGAAGCAATATTGTGGGTTGGATCATTCAGCTTGCTAGAGGAGTTGCATAGTCTTTGAAAAGAGC